TTTTTTCCATAAACAAATTTTTTTAAAGCGAATAGAACTATGCAGATGAAGAAAAGATGGCAAGAAGTGTAAAACGACATCATTCCTAGATGACAAATGTCTTAAGTCACGTGATAGTGGTATTTTAGTTCTAATATGCAACAGATTTCAATCAATCTCATGTTCTCTTCTTTGAGAAGTCTTGTTGCACTTCTATTTTTTCTTCATGCTCGGTGTTTTATAATCCCCCGCCCCCACTGTTTCAGAAAGCTAATTTATAAGATTTTCAAAAGAAAAAAAAATACACAAAGCGAGACATTCCAGGATTTCAGTAGGAGTTGTTATGATTCACGTACGACCTCTTAGTAAATTAATTAGTTTTTCGTTTTAAATAGAAGCCCGTTGTGTGTTTTNACCTAGTATTTCTTTTATTTAACTAGTATTTCGTTTCCTAGTATTTCTTTTATTTTTATTAAGTAACCTAGTATTTCTATTTAATTTAAATGACAATGGTCACGTTATCTAGAATCTCAATTTATCCGAGGGTACTGTGTTTTTTAAATGAATCAAATAAGACGTTTGCCAGTTCCGTAATCTCGCCAATGATTTTTTGAGATTTCTGCACAGAAATCTGAAAGGGGTTTTCCATTTAGGTAGATGTTCATAATTGCGTTTAACGCTTCTTGTTTAGGACCAGTACATAATATGTTTTTTTTTAAAGTTCATTGCTGAAAACCCCCTTTTAACCCCTGCAGTACTCCCAGACAGAGAAAACATCAATTCCACCATGCGCAGTACGTTGCTGTAATGTGGGCCATTTTGCTGCATTAGGTCTTTATAGATAGCTTGGGCTCGGAGGGCTGAAGTTTTCAGGTGTTCAATGATGTTAAATTTTAATGACACCCATTAAATTTATATATATTCCAACAAAAATTGAAAATGTATCACGAATATTAACGGGAAAATGGCTGTCCGTGGACGTCGGATTCGAGAAATTCGTTGCCCTCGGGGAATTTTTGACCGCCGAGGACGGGCAGACTGGTGGTTTTTCGAGCCCTGCTTACCACCATCACTGTTGAAATGCATTTCTATATTTATACATTTTTATAAGAAATACCTAAATACACTCTAAATTTTTGAAAAAACTTGTAAATTGTTGTAATATAAAAGTTTATAACTCAAATGGTAACTTAAATAATAATTTTTTTTTAAAAAGAAAATAAATAAATTTAAAAAAAAACAAACAATCTCTGGATTGCAACAAATTAAAAAGCTTATCGTACAATATCGTTCTTTTTTCTCACAAAAAATATTATTGGAGTTACGTACGTTTTTTGAAGTTAAATACAATTTCACTCAAAAAATCTTAAAATATACAGAATTTAAACGTTAATTTTAAGATATTAATTACATAAAATATGAATTCAAAAAATTCTTATTAAATATTTCTGTACTACTAATACATCTTTAATTTAGGTACTTCCAAAGTAGGAGAAAGAAATTTAAAAATAAAAGATCGAGAACGAATATACAACAATATTCATTCTTTACAGCGCAACAAATTTTGATTTTTAATTAATTTTAAAAGTTAGTCAATCAAAGGATAATTGCCATACTTTTTACCTCAACATAATAATATCGATAATTTTATATTGTTAGAGGTTTATGTGTCTAAAAATGACTTTAAGCATTAAAAAAAAAATCTAATCAGTCCAAACTCGTGCTGAGAGACCAGAATTTTACTATCGTGATATACCTATCATCAAAAATTTTAATATTTTACCATGATATTTTCTAATTTAACAACTTTATGAATTGGGGGATCATGGAGGTTAAGGTTCCACAATTTCGTGATAGTTGCATTGTCGTCACTGTTGAGCACGTACCACCTTTTCTTCATAGAAAAGCTTGTACCATCAATCTGAAGCTGAGTAAGATCGTCAAAAGGGTGGGAACGTGAGGTAAGTAATTTTAATTAAATTTTTTTTATCATCTTTATTTAATTTTCATAAGTTAAGTTATATTAGAGACCTATTCTATTCAGTACACTATCGTTCGCAACACGTAAAATACAACATCATTGCCCAATTAGAACCAAAGAAACATAGTGCACCGTATTTTAGATTCCCCATGGAATTTTTTGTTACAAAATACTAATAACTATACAATGCTGCAATCAAAAAGTTTTTGAAAATTAGTTTGGAAATATACATCTACCAGCGTTTAGAGATTTTTGATGATTATCTATATTTTTACGTAATTTACATTAAGAGGTTTTCTTTAACGGCATCCAAATATATTTCCATCAGTTTAAAGTCATCAGTTATAAGTTTTTGAAAAGTAGTTTTCTTTAATATTTTATAACCGTCGTGGAAAAGCCGACCCAATTTCGGTTTTACGACTTGATCCCAATCCAGAAGACAAGGTAACTCCTAGATTAAGTATTGGGAGAAATTTGCCTTCGAGGAGGACTTTTTTATGGAACTAACCCTCATTTTTGTTACATGGAAAGGAAAACCACGAAAATCTACCACAGTTAGCCTGACGGAAAAGGGACTCTAACTCATTTTCCGTCTACCACTAAGGATATTTTACATCAGCAGTGTGTTTGGTGCGAACCGGGTGCGGAATTCGTATAGACCGACCATTGCTGGGATTCGAACCCGGTTCATATCATTGAAAGGCGAACTCTTTATCCCTTGAGCCACCACGGCTCTTGAAAAATAGTTTGGAATTATAGATCAGTCAGTTTTTGGATTTTTGAAAAACATCTTTATTTTTGAGCAATGTACTTTAACAGATCTTATTATAACGACATCCAAATAGATTTGCATCAATTTAAACAATAATACAAGTAAATCTAAGAAAAATCTAAAAGCACCATTACTTTATTGCTTTACATTTTTGAAGATAAGAAATTAAAAAAAAATCAAAAAGTTATCAAGCGCTATTTCTCTTAATCTAATAAAGCAATGCCTTTATCTTACACTTTTTTTTTGTCAGGTATTGTCATAGTTTAATATCAAAAGTTTGTTCTGAACAGAAAAACATAGAGGAAACTAAAATAAAAAGTTTAACCTAAAATCCTAAATGGTAACTTAAAAGGCCTCTTAGAACTGAATTTTACTTAGGATTTGAATTTTACCACTAGCCTTAATGACGGAATATAAAAATGAAACGAATCTCAGAAAGGGAAGAAATCGTGCAATTCCTAAACCTTCTCATAAAGAGGATGAAGATTTCATTTTGCAGAGCGACAGAAATATCGGAGATTTTATTTATTTGCTTATTTTGGCAGAGTCTCTAAACCTCTTTCCTCGCCAAGAGATGCTTCACCACTCATTAAACCTTGAGAATTTTTCCACAACAAACACGCAACCAACCATTATAGCTTCCAACTTCATCTATCCACGGCAAGATCTTATTCTAACGTTTCGCCAACTATTTGGTTACATCTCCTGAGGAATGATGAGAAAAAATTCCCAACTTCGTTCTTCGGGAATATTTTGTGCTTTTTATTATGTTTGTTTTTGAAGTCAATGAGGTGAACTCCGTATGGGGGTGTTGGAATAAAAATAAAAGAGGAAAAATAGGAATTAGAGAGGCGACAAACCGTGAGAGGGGATGGTTAATCGTCGGACTGGAAAACTTAACTTCCGGAGAGGTCCTAGTTCTCTGGTTACCGCTTAGTACGGTGGGTGGTGTATGCTAACAACTGTTCAAAAAAGAAAAAGAAAAAAAAACTAAATAGTCTTTTTGTTCGAAATAATCGTTGGCTTTAAATTACTTTTTCCGCTGGAATGTTTTGATTAATTGATCTTCAGCATAAATACTAAGAAATTCAAACCACTTGATGGTAAAAATGTTATTTTAATATTCGAATTTATGGTAAATATCTTATTTTCGTCAATGAAAGTTCGATGTTTACATTTTTTTTTAAAATAAATTGAAAGTTTTATTTTTGAAATAATGGATGGAGGATGAAGATGAATTTGTGGATGGAAAATAATATGGATGAAGTGTTTGATAGAAAAATTATCATTATAATAATAAATGGAAATTTTTGTGGTAAAATTGTAGTTTCAATATAAGGAAAGTCTGATGGTAAAGGTTCTTATTCTAATAAGTGAAAAGTTTGATGACAAAATTATTATTTTAATAAATCAGAAGTTTGATAGTAAAATTCTTATTTAAATGAGAGAAAATTTCTTGTTTCAATAGGTAAAGCTTATGGTAAAATTGTAAAACTAATCTGTAAACTGTTAGAAATGTTATTCTAAAATTACGGAAAAATAACAGGCAGCAGTCAGTGCATCCCATTAACCGTAAAGCTTAAGCTGAATAACAGCTTTTACCTTTACGGTTATGAAAACGTTATAACTAATATGGTTATAAAACTATGACTGAAAAACTACATGTTTTTTTAAACTATTTACAACTAGTATAGTTTTAAAACGGGAAAAAAAAATTAACTGGACAATGGAGTTACTCTTTTCATCATGTAATGGGCATTGGATAGCGCAGGACACAAATTGGAGAGTGCAAGACACTGAAAATGAAAGAAAATTAGGAAATATAGTGGTGTCAACACTAGGACTCGAACCCCCGTTCTGCCGACCATGAGATTGACAGGCTAGCCCGCTCGGCTATAATATGTGTGCACCGGCAACCAACTAAGTGGCTTATTTAGGTGGACTAAGTGGTTTCATTGAGTGCGATAAATTCTGTTTTTTTTTAACCGTATTAGATGAAAACAGTTAATAAATGTTTTTTTCTCACCTATTTAAATACTATCTTATTAACGGTTATTTGATGTTTGTTTGAATATGGTAAAATGACATTTAAATAAATTGTTATATAACCATCTTTTCCTAGAAATTTCTAACAGAGTAATGTGGGTATCATTTTCAGCTCAGTAAATTCTTCTTGCCATTCCTAACTTGGGTCAGAAAGTAAGGAAACTTTGAAATAAAACTAGAAAGCTACAAGACAATGTAAGTTTTTATCAAAAAGTCTCTTACTTGTTCACAAGCGGATCTACAGGAGCCATTTGCATGACTGCAACATCGGAGACCTAAAAAATAAAAAGAATATAATGAAACTCAAACTCATAACTTGTAAAATAATAATAATTAAAAAAATTAATAAACTTAATTTTAAAAATTGAATAATTTTTAAAAATTTTTTATAAAAATTTAATGTAGATATTTTTTAAAATTATCTAACTGAAATAACAGCCATTTTTTGGTTTTTGTTAGTTATAATTAATAAGAATGTAATGAATTTTTTTTTTTTTTTACCTGGACGCCAGGGTTTTTTGTAACTTGAATATTGTGGTCACAACGGTACCGTAAGAGTGTTAAAAATGAGAAATGTTAAAGTAATGATTTAACTTTAAACCATATATTTCATATTGCGTTTAGAAATGTATAAATGCAATTCTTTCCAGTGTGGAATTTTTTCCTATGTACCATTTTTTTTTACCAAATACCACGAGAAAAAATATATTTTGTAACAAATTAAATAATGAGAATTTTCAGATATAACTCTCATGAATTAAAAAGAATAAAATCTTGCAAAAAAAAAAAGAAACGATAAAATTATTATTATAATTTTCATAATTCATATTTACGAACGATCAAAACAAGTGTCGTACACACCCCTGTGCTTCGAACAGTAATTTATTTTACCAAAGAATAAAAATCGTTTTGAAAACAAGATTTTTCTTCATCAGCATGCTAAGATATTACCATACAAAACAAATGCAGCCAATTTGTAAGGTATTTGGAAACTGATTTATTCCACTTTGGCATACAAATATTGCAAATGACTACTGCTAAATATGCTTTTAGATTCGCTCGAACATCAGAAGCAGCAAAATACAACTAAAATACCTCTCTTTTCGGGAAGCTAGCCAGGCGAGAAAATGGGTTTTTAAGAAGAACAAACATCACTTAAAAAAAGATCACAGCGTTCTACTGTCAGAGAATAATTGAATTCAAAACAGTCTTCCACATTGGTTATGTTAAGTAAGCAATTCATGGTCATTTTTATACCGTCATTGGAAACGGCATATTGCGTTTTTCTGGATGCCATTTTCTTTTTTCTTTTTTATAATGGAAAATATCATTTGAATTAGAATTGGTAATAGGGAAAAGACACGCTTTCCAATCGTTTTGTAGGATGTGTGCTATTGTATTCCAGTTATCTTATGGCAAGCTTATATACATATTCAATGTAAGAACTCCTTAAAGGTAAATAATGTTTTATGCACACGTACATGAAATGATTGTCCTACTACGATAAATATTATTTCATATAAAGTTTGTACTAAAACGTTTGCTGGCAAATATTTATTTCAATGGGACAGAAAACAATCTCACGGCCTAGTGCGATTGTTTTCTTGTAGTGGCGTCCGTTCTTTTCGAACGAAATACAGATACATAATTTTGCTATCAAAATTTGGCATAAAAGCTTGTAGTGAAACCCCGCTCAGATCTTTACAGTCGAAATAAGGTTCTTATCCTTGCAACCACAATGCATTCTGATATATCTGTAATTTTTAAACATTTTTTCCATTTACAAACTGTAAATATCTATACTTCAGCGAGAAAAAAATTATAGCGTGATAAACTTAAAAAAATCATAAAAATAGAGATAGAAGCATTTATTACTGGTTAAATGGTTAAAAATCAAACAAAATATTAGAGATCTAAGATTCCGGTTGAAATTGCTTTCAATGATACTATATTTTAAAGGTGTCTTACACATTTATTTTTCACCCATTACTGAACCACACAAATGACAAAACAGAAGAAAAAATTTATTATAAACCAAATGATGAGTATATTCCAATATTACTGTCGTGATTATCAGGTACTTGACGCATAGAAAAGAAAGTATTGAAATCTTTTCCTCTGAAAATGTTGCCATCAATAATGTGTGAAATAGACAAGAAGCGCATTGAGGTACGATTGCTAGCTTTGTCATCTAAAAAGTAAACGAATAATAGTTATTTACTATATGCGCCTGAACATTGTTTTCATGCTTCTTCAAGTCAAAGCTTCCTGATCAACGAAAGGCTTAGGCTTAAATTTATAGGTTCCTGGCAGAAGGGGTAACTGAAGCTAAGGATGAAGTTAAATGACTTCGCATTATCTGGTGTATGGCCAAAGCTTTAAGAGGACACCATAGAGTTGACTCTATGTAGCACTGTATCTATGGAGGACACCGCATCTATGGAGCAACTTTTTTTTTTCTTTCCTCCAAGCCCTGAGCATGTGCCTAGGTTATGAAAACCCTTAACCATATACCCAGGACTTGGAGCAACTCTATGGAGGACACCGTATGGCGAGAGAAACTTTTCATCGCAAATTCTGCTTCACCTCCATAACCAATTGAAAATCCTAGAGTGGGCCATGAAGTTTCAGTTACTAAAAAAAATAATTTAAAAATATCAAAATGCAAACAAATTATTGGAAGAGAACTTCCCTATTAAGTAATCCTAAGTTATCCTCTCATAATTTGTTTTCATTTTGATATTTTGAAAATTTATTTTTTCACTATTTGAAACTTCATGGCTTACTCTAGGTCTGCCTGAGCTCACTTTTTCATACTCTAAATTTTAAATTACTTATGGAGATGAAATAGAATTTGGAGTGATAAGTTTTTCCCGTTGTATAACGCCCTCTTAAAACAAACCATCTCATGTCAGTAGCGGCCACATTTTTCGAAGGAAAGTTATAAAAAGGAATAATTGTATTTTCTATTAAAAATTTTATGACTTAAATAACACCCGTAATTTTTCTCACACAAATTGCAGAATTTTTGCAATATGATAAGTACATAGAAAAGTACTCAGTAAAGTTAACACATTAATATTTACACGAGAAGTTTTTTTTTAAAAAAATCTGATGAATCATTATCGAGGTCAGTCTTAGCAAAGGTGGGATTAAAAGCATCAACACCAGTTTAATTGTCAAGATGAAATGTTGAGCTTCTTTAATATTTTGGCGCCACATTGTACAAAACAAATCATACTTGAATAACTGATACAATCATACAATTTTTACATTCTCTTAAAAAATTTAAACGCTCAAGGTAGTATTTTACGAAAAAGGAAATAATTTATAATTGTAAAAATAGCAATCAGTTCTAAATCATTGCAAAAATATACAAACTATCTAAACAAAAGTGCTTTCATTCTTAAAATTTTACCAGATGTTATTCAAAATACAGTTTTCCTGAGAAACTAGCTAAAAGGTTAATAAAATATTTACCCAAACGTCAATATTTTAAAGGGTAAAAAAAATATCATAAATGTCTGTTAGACGTTTCTGCTTTGAAAAGGAATGTTTAAGTTCAGGCTGTAGCTGAAAATATCACGGTTCATCAGTTCATTAGTTACGTGATGATGAAAACGGAAATTTTTCCCTATTTTTCCCTCCTACCGTAAACCGAAATACATAAACATTCGCAATTTGATACCGATGAAAACATAATTAATTGTTAGGTGATGAAATCAACCCGATCTCAGCGTTGAAAGCGTTAACCAATTTGTGTTGTCATCAATTGGAGTTATCTTATCTGAAGCAAATTTTTTCCACATGAGCTATCAGTCTTTCAATTAAAGATAGAAATGAATTGTCTTATTTATTTAGTGGCTATGAACTTCCACAGTTGTTTAGAAATGAATGAATTATAGTTAACACCTCTTATAAACAACATTGAGACTATCTAACAACCTTTCAACTCATTTTCCTCAATTGCTATTTTTTTTTTCTTTGTAGAAGAAAACCAACACTTTTTTTATTTAACTTTTTTTGTTGTTGCAAATTTAACAAAATTATACAATCGAATATATCAGGGTGATGAAAATATATAACCATTCAACAATTGTAATACACGTGTATTACAATTGTTGAATGGTTATATATTTTCATAAGAAAACTTTGATTTTTTTTTATTTGTTATGTCAAATATCAGACTTCGTGAGCAAAAATATATAATAGAAGTTGGCCTGTGGCAGTTTCATACCGTCCAATTTTTTTTATTTATTTGTAATGTCAAATATCACACTTTGTGAGCAAAAACATATAATAGAAGGAAAATAGAAACTAGGAAAAGTTTCACTAAAAAATGGAGTTATATAGAATAATGGCAATAGTTCAAACTCTAATCTCAATAAATATTACTGACTCAATACTGTTACTGACAATTTTAACGCTGGTTATTTTCCAGTTATGATATAAAAATTTCCCAGTTTCTTTTTGTAAAAAATTGCAACTTTTCTTGACTATTCCCTGCTTTTTAGAGTTAAAATAAATTCCCTGACAAATTCCAGGTTTTCTTTGTCTTACCTGACCCGTAAGAGACCTGTAATATAACCATGCTTTTAAGTTCTAGAAAATGAACCTCATGAACAATAAATAGATTAATGTATGAAACGTTTTTATTCTTATTTTAATAAAAATGACTTATAGGTAAAATTTTTACATTTTTGCATTAAAATAAATTTAATATATTTACTTAGCAGTTCATATTAAGCATAATATTCCTTATACATTACATAGAAAACGTGAAATAAGTGATGTCGTTTATCAATGTAATCAGGTCCACCTACAATCCACCTGTGCTTTTTAGCACAGCTAAGAGGAAAGTAAATTTAAATCAAATTTACAAAACAAAGAATTCCAAAACAAAGAAGTTACTTTGCACAACACTATATGTAAATTATTCAATGGTTTATATGAAACGAAAAGTGGTTTATATGAACGATATTTTCTCAAAAAGCGTGGAAGCGGCTGGCCGGATAATTGTATTTGCTACGAGTAGAATTTTTTTTTTTTGGACTACGGAAATTGCGTAGTAATTGAGTGATACGTAATAGTGTACAGTTTAGTTTAATTTGGACAATAATATAAATTTCTGAATATTATCTTGAGAAACTTTTGAATTTTCCTAAGTATGAAATTTGTTGTATGTGAGAAAAATAAGTTTTATAAGATATTTGAAACAACAATAAAAACTTTCCATCCCTCCCTTTCATAGATGGAGGGATGGGATACGTTTTTA